GACTGCATCCGGAATTAACCGAAATGCAAAAATGGACGGCACACCCGTGAGGAATTTTTTTTTTCTTAATTTAAAGTAGGTAAATCCACTTCTAACCCAGACCTTTAAGGTAGGAAGACACAGGCCTTCAATCCGATGGTGAGGCAGGAAAATACACCTCTGATCTGGGCCACACCTTCTGCTGAGGACGAGGGAGGGAGACCAAAGCTTTCGCTCTCTGCCTGCTTCCCCTTGCCATGTCCATTCCTTCACTGGCATTCCAGCCCACTTCTTCAGGATCCCGGTGTGTTCTGAAGACCAGCTGAGACACCCCGCCTTGTGGACCGAGCAACTCCTGGATTCTATTTGAGTGTGTGATGCTAAGGGGTTGAATCCCAAGCCTTGTGAATATGAGGCAAAAACCCTGCCACTACAGTACAGCCTGTGGTTTGAAGACATCTCCCATAGTTCTGGGCATCTGAGTATTCGGTCCCCAGCTGGTGGCAGTGTTTGGGAAGGCTTAGGGCTTGCAGTGCTGTTGGAGGAAGTGTATCACCTGAGGCAGACTTTGCGAATTTAAAGACTCTGGATGTCAGCCATTCTGAGCTCACTCTCTCTGCTTCCTGCTTGTGTTCACAGACGGAAGCTTTCAGCTTCCAGCGGCCATGCCTCCACCCTGCCATCATGGAACTACATGCCTCAGTAAATTCCTCCTTTCATAGGTTGCCTTGGTCAAGACGTTTTATCATGGTAACGGCAAAATTGCTAATATGTATCCCTAGCCCTCTTCAGCAGGCATGTCTATAACACCCAGAATGGTTGATTTTTCTGGCACTAGACACTGAATCTAGGCCTCATGCATGTTAGACAAGTCCTTTACCAGTGAACAATGACCCCGACCCTTTGATTTCCCTGTAGCCACAAACCAGGCTCCTTTTCAGTTCTCTTCACACTGTCAGCAACTCTCTTTCCTTATTTCTCTGACAATATCAAAGCAAATGTTCAAAGTCCTTTTCTCCTAATCTACTTTTTTTGAGGGGGGGGGTTTCGAGACAGGGTTTCTCTGTGTAGTTTTGGAGGCTGTCCTGGCACTCGCTCTGTAGACCAGGCTGGCCTCGAACTCACAGAGATCCGCCTGCCTCTGCCTCCCGAGTGCTGGGATTAAAGGCGTGCGCCACCAACGCCCGGCCCCTAATCTACTTTTAGAACTGTTTTTGTGATATGAATAATCAATCTAAAATATAAAACACTGGATGTCGGGCGTGGTGGTGCACGCCTTTAATCCCAGAACTAGGAAGGCAGAGGCAGGTGGATCTCTGTGAGTTCAGGAAAAGCCATGGTCTACACAGTGAGTTCCAGGCCAGCTTGGGATATGGAATGAGATCTTGTTTTAGAAAGAGAGAGACTGAGTCCTGTAGTTGTAGAAAATTGTCTAAAGTATAAAACATTGGCCATCAGGATGGCTCCAAGGAGAAAGGCCCTTGCTAGTTTCATCTCTAGAACCCACAAACAGAAGGGGAGATGGAGGCATGAAGATCATAAGTTCAAGGTCATCCTTGCTTATAAAGTGAACTTAATGCCAGCCTGAGGTACACAAGACCTGGTCTCAAATAAACAAGAGACTAGCAAAACACCCACTTAAGGGTAAGGGCACCTACCACCACACCTGGCGACTGGAGGACAGTCTCCAAGACAGACAAGATGGAAAGAGAGTCAACGCCTGAAAGCTGCCTCTTCCCTTCCCCCGTATCCTATCCTGGGCAGCATGTATCACCTCACTCAAATAATGAACTAACTGGAAACCCGGAAGTTCCATTGAAAATCAAACAGGCCTGGAGATACAGTCCATGTGGTGGAGTGCCTGCCCAGCCTGTCTAGCAGGCACAGGACCTGAGTTTGATACACAGCACCATATGTGTAGTTTACCTGTAATCTCAGCTGGGAAGACAAAAGAAACAGTCATGGTGGCGTACGCCTTTAATCACAGCAGTTAGGAGGCAGAGGCAGGAAGATCCCTGAGTTCAAGGCCAGCCTAACCTAGTCAGACCCTGTCTCCAAAAAGAAAAAGAAAAGAAAGAAAGAGGAAGGAAGGAAAGAAGGAAGAAATTTAAGGACCAAAAGTGGAGGGCACCCTTGACTACATAGTTCAGGGCCAGCTGGGATACATGCATCCCTTTGTCAAACAGAGATGATGATGATACTTATTTATGGACTTTGGCTTATAAGGCGCCTGGAGCAAACAGAAACCACATTTTGAGTCTTTTCTGTGTGTGGCACTGGCAATCCAGTCCAGGGCTTGGTTTGTGCTGCTGTGCAAGCACACTCCACATTCCCAGCTCTCAGCCCTCTTATGGGGCTCTATACACTTCAAATGCTCACAACATCTCATCTCTCACCATTTAAGAGGAGACTCAGATTCTGAGACTCAAGCACTTGGTTGCAAGATGGCTCGGGGCTGTACTGATTTCAAATGCACTTTCAGTCATGCTCAACTGGCACTGTGCCACAACTGTGTTCGAAAAGGATCATCTATACATTCATCCATCAAATAAGTTGTCACTATGCAAGTTTGACTTTCGATAGAGCTATAAGCTAAAATCAGCAGAAACAGCCCCATTCAAAAATCCAACCTCGATATGGAATAACAAAAACAAAGGGCTTCACTTGCAATTTTCTCATTTTCCAAGTTAGGTTCAGCAGCAAGGAGTAATTCATTAGAATGTACAACTGGTGTTAACAACAGTCCCCAGTGCGAAAAGGACCCTGGTTAACATTTGTAAAGTGGAAGGGGCCCAAATTGGCCAAAAGGAAGAACATGGAAATTCTGCCCACAGCCAGAACAATGGACATAGATTTGTCAAAACAAAGAACAGCTAAGGGAGGGAAGACTGTCTGTCCAGCCCTTGTTATGCTTTTTATGACTGTTTTCCCAGTGGCCAGTTTCCTATTCACTTTAACAAAGAAAAAAGATTAAACGAAAATACATGTAACATTTTGCAAGCTTATATTATCCTTTGGCAGAAACAAATTACTGTGTTCAAAGTCCGACCCCTGGAAACAATCTGGAGTCATCTGATTGCAGCAGCAAAGATGCCCTTCAGTGCCGTAGAAGGGATTCTCAAGACTTATTGTCCGTCTTTGGTTCAACTGCAAAGCTTTAATGTTAGTAAAGGTTAAACTAAAGCTCTGGAGATCTAGCTCAGGCACAAGGCACTTGCTTAGTGATTTATTTACAAGTCCCTGAATTCCACACACACTCACAAAGTAGAGCATGTGGAGTTGGTAGGGAGCTTTCTTACCATGCAAGGACCCCCAACCTGATAGAAACTGGACACCGGGTGCGTGCAAGTCAGTGATCCCTGGGCAAGTGGAGACAGGAGGGTCAAGGTCAAGGCTACTGGAGTGTGGCCGCACCTTTAATCCTAGAACCCAGGAGGCAGAGGCAGACAGATCTACACAGTGATATCCAGGCTAGCCAATACTACATAGTGACAGTCACAAAACAAAACGATTCAGGCCACCCTCAGATCCTTCATTAGACCCAAACTCACCCCCGAGACCCCCAAAGGAAAATAAATAGGTCTTTAAAAATGTAGTTCTCCTTAGGCTATTGTTGTAATCCAATCAACATATTTCATGACATTACACAACAGAATTTTGGCTCTCACTCTGTCAAGCTGGCCTTTGGATGGTATGTCAAAGAGCTGTGTTGAGACACCTAGGAAACAACATCAGTCACTGGAAAAGATGTTAAAAATGTAAGCCTTGAGTTTAAAGTACAAAGCTGGAAAAACAAACAAAATAAAAAACCAGGTCCTAAACATAAGCCACAATGAAGTGCCCAGAGCACTCTTGATTTAAACACTGTGTGGGAGGGTGGCACATTCTCCTCCCTGGCTATCCGTATTTGTCAAGCTTCACTCAAGTGCTGTTAAAAAACATGGCCCTGCATATGCATTTTTGTTTGTTTGTTTTTTATGGGACAGGGTTTCTCTGTATTGTTTTGGAGGCTGTGGGTCCAGCCCGGCCTCGAACTCACAGAGATCCGCCTGCCTCTGCCTCCCGAGTGCTGGGATTAAAGGCGTGCTCCACCACCGCCCTGCTCTGCATTTTTTATATACAGGGTTTGGTTTGGCTTGGTTGATAAGCTGAAAGTGGGCCCCAGCAAATAGTTTTTGTTCTGTTGCTTTCTCTCGATGTAGTTAGTTTCATAGAGATGACGGTGGAGTGGGTTTTGCTTTTGACCTATGTATGCAATCACATAACTCAGACCCACGTAACCAAGAAAAAAAACTGCCTGAACAAATGACTAACACAAATCACACATCGAAGGACTCTGCTTATTCAAACAAGAGCACACCCATTATGGTCAGGGCGTCATTTTTAAAGCCTTAGAAACTACCACTGCTTTGCAACAGTATTGAGTTTTCACAGCGTGACACAAGATTTTGAAAAAACGAAACAAAACAAAACTGTCTATACTTTCGGTTCTGGGAGAGACAAGGGCTGGCAGGTAGCACACAACCTCCAGTCACTTTGCAGCCGAGTTTTAAGTGGGTGAATTTAGTGGCGTGGAGCAAAATGTCTGAGCAACCTTAGAAAGCGTTTGGCAATACGAAGAAGGTCTTATTGAGACCTTAAAGGGGGTCCGCGTCTGTGAGTGTTGGGAAAAGGACTGGGTGGGAATTAAAAGTTTGTGCAGATCCTCTACAGCACAGACCTCCGGCGGCTCTGGAACATGTGCACAGCTCCAGCAAAACAAAACCCACCCAGGTTCTTAGGAAAGTGGGAGGCACCCCCGGACCAGTCAAAATCAGCTGGACCGCCTTGCATGGTGGGATCCCCCTGCCCTATGGTCTCACGAGCCCCGGCTCTCGCAGTCCTGTGTAAGCGTCCCACAACCAGCCCTGCATCAGTTCCCCAGTAGTCGCTGCTTCTCCACCCACCCACCTTGTGCCCTCCGCTTCCCAGGCATCCTTTCCCGTTGGGTGGGCGCGACACCCGAGCTCCCGGACACTCACACATGGCCACAGCGGGTCCGGACCGGCTGATGTAGCACCTCCAGGCACACCGAGCAGTCGAAGGAGGTGATGGGCAGCTCGGTGTCCCCGCTGCGCTCCAGGGACCGCGGGGTGGCGGAGGCGGGCGCGGACTTGGAGCTGTCGCTGCTCAGCAGGGAGCCCATCGCTGCACGCTAGCACCGCTGGCTGCCAGGAGCTCGGTGTGGGCTGTCGGGGGTGGGGTGGGGAGGTGTCTGTTGTCCCTCCCCGGAGGAAGGAAGTCCCGGCCCAGCCCGGATCGCCGCCTCCTGGTTCGGCCAGCCGCGTCGCACAGCCTCTCGGTGGAGAGCAGGGAGAGCGCGCGACCGCCGCTTGCAAACGCTCTTCCGCGAGCGACCAGGCGCTGCAGAGGCTCGAGGTCTCCGGAGGGTGAAACCTGAACCTTCCACCCCGCGACCGCACTCAGAGTTCTGCAAAGTGCAGTTTGAGAACACCCACCGGAGACGGGATGACTATCTGGTCTCCAAGTTGGTATCTTAATAAGCCTCAGAGCCGACCTATGACCATTTCGGTGATTGACTCAATACTTTAATCAGGAAGGGAGAGATAGCTGGGGGCGGGAGGGGGGGTGAGTGGAAAGTTTCTTCATCCAGAACCCCACTTGTTGGCTTACAAATACAGTGCCAACAGTCAGGCAGTAGGATTGCTACGAGTTCGAGGACAGCCTCGGCTGCATTTGAACGCGGCAGTGTTTCAAAAACAGACAAGACAGACATCATGGCTTACGCCTTCAAGTTCAGCACTTAGGAGGCCAGGTAAAGAAGATTATCGAAAGTTTTAGGGCAGCCTGGGCAACACTGTGAATTCCAGAACATTCAGGGCTATGGAATGAGACCGTTTTCGATGTAGTTCAGTGGTGGTGTGCTTGCCTAGACTGTATGATATGCGGGTTTGTTCCCCAGTACTGTGTAAACGACAAGGTGAAAAATAAAGCTCGTACCTGCGTATGGTGGGTAACAGCATGTAGGAGGTTGAGCTAGGAGGGAAAACATAGGTTGGAGAGAGTAACAGACTTAATGCAGTTGTATAGGCTGATACACAATATGCAGTGAACTGTACGCAATACTACAAAATATTAAATTCTTTTGATCCTCACCAGGTTTCTCCCAGTCTTTACCTTTTTGCGTTTCTTTTTGAGGCTTTTAATTTTTTTTTCTATTTTCAAGACAGGGTTTCTCTGTGTATCAGTCCTGGCCTCAAACTCAAGATCTGCCTGCATCTGTAATAAAAGGTATGCAGTCATGCCCAGCTGACACTTTTATTTTATGTTGTTTAATTTTATGATGGTGAGCCTTGTCTCTCAAGCGAACACTCTATCATTAAGCTGTAACTCAGCCCCCTTTGCTTATTTTTTGTTTTGTTTTGTTTCGGTTGCTGTTGGTTTTGAAAACTGGTCTTACAATGTAGCCCTGGTTAGCCTGAAGCTCACTATGCAGAACAGACTGGCCTTGAATTCCCAGAGATCTGGATGCGCTTCTTCCTCCCGAGTGCTGGAATTAAAGGCAAGCACCAAAGCAAGCGGGGTTCTCCTGACCCACAGCCACTCTCAAGTAAATGCATTGAGGCTTATATCAACCGTAAATGCTCAGCCAATAGCTCAGGCTTATTACTAAATTGATTTCACATTTTAAATTAACCCGTGTTCTTCATTTACACTCTGCCACGTGTCGGTGTGGTACCTTTGCCAGCGTGGCACGTTCATCTCCTGCTCCCTCTGCACCTGGCTGCCAACTCTAGACTTGCCCTTCTTACTCCCATTATTCTCCTAGTCTGGCTCGCCTGCCTAACCTATTCTGTTCAGCCATTGGCCGGTTAGCATGGCTATTAAACCAATCATAGTGACGCATATTCATACGGTGTAAAGGAATATCCCACAGCACACCAACACGAGTATCAAGCATGCTTTGGGGACACCAGACCTTGAGCAGAGACCCACTTCCCCAAAAGCCTGGGAGTAGGCAGCTATAAAACAATGTTTACTAAAAACAATAAAATGCCCGGGGCAATAAGTTCCTGAAAAGGGCTGGCCCGAGGAACGCCCTGACCTCAACCTTTTCCAAAGTCTAACCACCTCTTCAGACACACCCAAGGCAGTTTTCTGGTGTCAGAGAGAACCAGCCAGGGGTAAGGAGAGAGCAGAAGCTTCTCTGGAGGGAGCCTTTCTTGGGAAGTTTTCTTGAGCCTTTTGGGGGCCTGCTTAAAGTTTTCTTTACATCGTTGAACGAGTCTCTGTGTTGTCAATCTCCGCACATTGTTTTGGAGGCTGTCGGTCCAGCCCGGCCTTGAACTCACAGAGATCCGCCTGCCTCTGCCTCCTGAGTGTTGGGATTAAAGGCGTGTGCCACCACCGCCCAGCAATTAGGGCCTTTTTTATTTAAAGATTTATTCATTTATTACATATACAGTGTTCTGCCTACATGCCAGTAGAGGGCACCAGATTGAATTGTAGATGGCTGTGAGCCACCATGTGGGTGCTGGAAATTGAACTCAGGACCTCTGGCAGAGAGCAGTCCATGCTCTTAACGTCTGAGCCATCTCTCCAGCCCAATGATGGGCAATTTTTTTCAGGTAGAATTTTTGTTAAAAGTAAGTGGATGCGAAGAACAGTGAGGCCTACCAGGTGGATTTAAACACATGTTCTGTCTCTGACTTTACTCGTTGTGCAGCATTTAATGACGAAGGCTACTGTGGGTCAAATATGGCACTAGTCACCAGGGGCAGGATAAAGGGTGGTCTAGTTAGTTAGCATCAATTGTCAACTCAGCGCAGCCTAGAAAGTAACTGAGGAATTGTCCTTATCAGGTTGATCTCTGGGCTTGTGTATGACAATGAGAAGTTGTCTTGGTTGTTTATCTATGTAGGAGAGCATAGCCTACTGTAGGCAGCCCCTCTCTCCAGGTAGGTGGTCCTCAGCTATATAAGAAAGCTACCTAAACGCTGGGCAGTGGTGGTGCACGCATTTAAGCCCAGCACTCGGGAGGCAGAGGCAGGCAGATCTCTGTGAGTTCGAGGCTGGGCTGGACTGACAGCCTCCAAAACAATACAGAGAAACCCTGTCTCGTAAACCTAAAATAAAAGAAAAGAAAAGAAAGCTACCTAAGCATGAGCCTGGGGTGAGCCAGAAAACAGCAGTCCTCCATGGTTTCTGCTTCAGGCTCCTGCCTGGAGTTCCTTCCCGGACTCCCCTCAATAATGGACTGTGACTTGGAGGTTAAGCCTAAAAAAATGTTTCCTGCACCTGACTTACGCTGACAAGCATTTGTGGAATGCAACTAATGACTGATGGAAAATTACAGCTTTGTCTTTACCGTATTTGGTGTATATTTGAATTGAGACTTGATTTACATGCTTGTACCACCCCCTGAGGTCCTTCCTCTATAAGTTCCAGCGCGCCCCAAAAAATAAAGGCTCTTGATCAGCGAACGTTGTCTTGAGCCTGATTCTATTAACCTCTTGAAGTTCACTTTCCAGATCGGATCTGCTCGTGAAGGCCCACCAAATTAGTAGCGACCCTCATCACCTCACCCCCCGGGTCGGGGGTCCCTTCCCGGGGGTCGCAATGGAAGGGAAACTTATGGAAAGTTGCTTTTGGTTAGAATATTTCATCACAGCAACAGGAAAGAAATTAGAACAAACTAAGGAGTGGACAGCTACTGGCTTTGGTCACGGGAACCTCTTCACCTTCACGGTCGTCCTCTTTCTTCATCTGTGAATTTGAGCTGCTTTTGACTGGTTGCTGTGGACCGTGGTGGTCAAGGCAATGCAGTGTACGTGTATGAATGTTTCCTTGACACACTGGGACTTTGGAGTGCGCCACTCACTGTATACGTTTTGACCTCAGGCCTTCCCTATTGGTGGAATCCCAGCCTTCCTAGCCCCTCCCTCCTAAATGATGATGCACTTCCTCTTTCTCTTCAGTCTACAGCTTGCAACATCTCACCAACACTTCCTTTTTCTCTTGCATAATCTGTTCAGTTAGTCCTGTGGTTGACACCAAAATTGACGCCTCTTTCCTGTCCTCAAGGCTCTCATTTCTCATAGATACGCTGTTTGAGAAAATAACAGCTGTAGCCCAGCAGTGGTGGTGCATGCCTTTAATTCCACCACTCAGGAATCGGATCTCTGTGAGTTTGAGACCAGCCTGGTCTACAGAGCGAGTTTCAGGACAGCCAGGGCTACACAGAGAAACCCTGTCTTGAAATGCCCTGTCTTGCAAAAACGAAAAGCAAACCTTTATAATAGAGTACATCATCAGTGGTCAGAATCTATGAAAAGAATGGGGATGCTGGCTTCAGCCAGAGCGCATAACAGAGAAGGGAGCGAGAAAGCACATTGTGCAGCTAGAGATGCAGCTCGGTGGGCAGAGAGCTTTCCCAGCACACAGGAAACTCTGATTCTCATCTTCATCACAGCAGAAACTGAGTGGAGGCAGGAGGATCAGAAATTCAAAGTCTTCCTCAGTTATATAGCAAGCTTGAGGCCTGTCTGGGTGACATACCAAGACCTATTTTCAAAAATTACAAACACCAGCATGGTGCTGAAGGCCTTTAACCCCAGCATTTCAGAGGCAGGTGGAGCTCTGGGAGTTTGAGGACAGCCTTGTCTACGTACAGAAACCCAGAACAACCAGGGCTACATAAAGAGACCCTGTCTCAAAAAATAAAAACAGGAAATAAAAAACAAAACAAAACAGAAAACAGCACCCCATCACTAGCCATGAGGGAGCATGCCTTTAATCTCAGCACTCAGGGGCCAGAGGCAGGACATTCTCTGTGAGTTGAGGCCTGTTTGCATAGGGAGTTCTAGGACACCCAGGACTGCTAGGAGGAGGAGGAGAGATGACATCCAAATTCAAATGGAGGGAAAACCAAAGCATTTCAGACAGGGTGACTGGATGCTGTGAGTACAGGCAAGGGGGCAGGAAGCCCCCAGCTCTGGCTCACAAAGCCGCATCCAGTCCCCCGTTGACAGAATTTCCAGCTCACAGCATTCGACAGAGAGAGGAAACTGGAGACCAGGACATGTGAAAATGGAAGTGGCCTTGGTGGGTATTTTCAGTTGGCTTCTGTGGCTTCATAGAACCAATTAAGAGCTTGAGCAAGTCAGTGACATGGCCACACTCACAGTTTTGTCAAGTCATTCTGTCCTCAAAGTGTCTTGCATCAGACTCACCTGAGAAGCCTGTTGAAAGGCTCGATGCCCAGATACCAAATTTCCGTGTCTGGGTTAGTTACGAAAGCTACACTCCAGCTGAGTGTGGTGGTGCACTCAGGAAGCGAACACAGGAGGCTCGCTGAGGCATGAGGCCAGCTGGGGGTACAGAAAGACCCTTTCTCAGAAAGGTGAAGCAAACAATATCAAAACGAAATGAAACCCAAAACAGACAGCCAACCAGACAATAGCCTTGCATTTTAAAGGCCCAGCTGGCTTGCATGCA